AGATGCAAAATTTCTTAAGAAAATACTGGCAAATTGCATACAAAAAATATTAAAAAGATAGTGCACCATCATCAGGTGGGCTTCATCCCAGGGATGCAAGGTTGGTTCAACATACAGCAATCAATATATGCAATTCATCATATCAAAAGACTTAAAGACAAGAATCTCATGATTATCTCAATAGGTGCAGAAAAATAATTTGGCAAAATACTGCATCTATTCATGTCTAAAACACTAGAAATTATAGAGATAGAAAGGCCATACCTTAACATTGTAAAAGCTGTATATGACAAACCCAAGGCCAACATCATTCTAAAGAGAGAGAAACTGAAAGCATTTGCTCTAAATAGTTAAGTTTTAAGAGGAGGAGAACATAAAAGTGTAAGTTCACGTCTCCCACCTAGCTAAGTTGTGGTTGGATTTAACCCATCCCTGTGGGAAACTTGATGAGCTGGGGTACCTATGGACCTCTTGGCGTCCAGAAATTCAGGTGTACTCCTGAGCTACTTGTTTCTTAGTTTTCTCTTGACCTAATCCTCAAGCCCGTGGCTTCTAAAGTGAACAGTTCAGAGGGCTCTCACCGTTCTGCTCTCTGCCACTGGATTTCTGCTCACGGGATGGTGTATCACTTCGCATTGGAAACCCACATCTCTGATCCCTTGCTCTTCTCACTGCAGCTACATGCTCCACGTGCCCCACCAGCAGGCTGACCAACAGCTAGGATTGGTTCCTGCCCTAAGCCAGTCAAAAACTCACCTACTGAGGACAGAGGTTTTGGGTGCCTCTCTGGATGGGTGACCCCCTCAGTTCCCATTCTCGGCCTGGTGGCCCACTGACCCTTTACCAGGACCATTTTTCCTGAGCAGCTTCCCTCCTTTGACTGATCTCAGTCCTTTCTGTGTGGCCACACCCCAGCTTGTAATGTTCTCTGGACACTTCTCCAGGTTGTGACCTACTKCCACGTCTCCAGCCTCCTATGGACATGGTGCAGGCCCTTGGATCTCTGAATCCAGCCCCAGTGTAAAAAAAATCTCAGATTCAATACTAGTGCATCATAGCACAAAGTGATAAGTATTCCACCTTGCTTGTCGTCTCAGATATCTAAAATAAAACTGTGCTTTCTCATGTATCACCTGACATGTGACCCTATGTCTTAATAAATACAAATTCATGGGCAATGTGTTGGACATACTTTTAGCTCTATAATTTTATAGTGAGTAGAAATACACACATTTTAATCTGACATGTGTTTTATAGAACTTTTTCAAAAAACTGATTTCTTCATAATATTTGTAGAGTTTTTACTCATGTTTCAGAAAACTGTCACTATTTAGACAATTAGTTTCTTTTCCAGTTCGTTTGGCTATTTGGYAGTGGGCTTTCTGATCCTTTTTATTAGGGTTTTCTGTTGTTCTTGATCATAATAAAAGAAAAATTGCTTGGAATATACTTATCTTAGTGAATTATAAACTGTCTTTAAGATCTTCTCTCTTTCTATTCCTTACTATGCATGAGATCACTTTTATAAAAGTCAGTCATGAATCAGTTGAGATGGAATTAATTTAGGTGAACAGATATTAGGGAATATGTTTGAGGAAATGTGCTGGTTTGTCCTAGTAGAGCACAGCATAGCTTTTGAAATGTATTGGCTTCTCTAACATTGCTATTTCCCTGGCCATATTTTAAAAAGAGTTTCACAAATCAAAAAGTGTGACTCCCAGAACAGCAACTTCCTCATCTCCTGGAAATAAATAGATATGTAAATTACCTGGCTCCAACCCACACCTGCTGTATCAGAAACGATAAGGGCGGAGGTGGGCCAATACTGTGTTTAAACCAACTTGCAGGTCATCTTGGTGCACACCAGACTCTGAAAGCCAGGATTCAAGGCAATTAAAAACACATGCAGGTTCTTAAATTTTTAAAAATGCATGCCTGTTAGACGCATTTCACGTAGGTATACTTTTTAAAAAAAAAATTCATTAAAATGAAGCCCATTTTAACCACTCAGTTTTGAAATGGTCTTTCTTTCCAATAAAAACTTGGATGAATTTTCTCCAAGCACACATGGACTTTTTAGAAGAAGTAAATAATTTATTCCTGACAAAGGCAGAGAGCTTCCTTCCTCATCATAATGGAATCCAGTGACGTACACATGTGTTATCTGATGTGCTACCCTCCCCTTGATGTGCCTGATTTTATACTGGATTTAATTATAGTCCACTTTTTAGTTGAATTTGAAATCCTTAGAAATTAACCATTGGAGCAGAATGGATTTCGAACATCTGACAATTGAAAATAATATTTCTTATGATAATTTCTTTCCAAAGTTACAAAGAAAGAGCATCAAAGGGAAGACTGGAGAGTTTGAAAGTAACTGACTTTCTAACCCAGTTAACAGGAACAGGTGACGTGTTGGTTTCAAAGCTTGGAGACAGGGAAAGCAGAAAGCCAACAAGGGGACGGTCCCCCAGGTAGACCTCACCAGTGCACCCCCAGAGCTTGCCTGCCCTGGGAGGGCTCCCCAGGGCCCATCCTCCAATCACCCTTGGCTTGTAAAGGATGGACCTCCGTGATTTTGACATGTAGAGCCTTGCATGGGGTGAATTGCACCAAGTTCACTCATTCGTTATTGGTTTTTATCTGCTGATATTTGAGCACATGGACGTTTCAGTGAAAATGTAATAGTGCTGCTGGGTTCTCCACCCTGATTGATGTTTCACATGCCATCCCCTTGAATGGCACTCACGGCCAAGATTGTATTTTCACCTGTCCTATTGTTTTTAAATATTCAACTCTGGCTATGGTTACCAGGGGTCTGTACAGCCTCAAGCAACAGTAATACTGGTTAATGATGTTATTGATTCCAAAATTCTGGAAAAAAGGGGTTTTTATTTCTTGCATTTTGGCACTGATTCTTTTCTGTCTTTAGACTCTAAAATTGATGGGAAGGGAAGACTGAAGAAGAATGTTTTGCTTTCCTCTTTGATAACAGTGTTTTCCCCATGCACAACAGAGACCACTGAAATACAATTAATTCCAAATATGGAAGCTTTCCTTTCTCCGGAGGAATTTTTTTTTTTTTGAGATCTCATTTCATTTTTAATTTTTTTATTGGCTATTTTTAGTTATACAAGACAGTGGATTCCATTTTGATGTAATTATACAAGCATGGAATATATCTTATTCTAAGTAGGACCCCATTCTTCTGGATGTACATGATGGTGAGATTCACTTTGTCTTGAGCAAAAAAAAAAAAAAAAAGAGGTTGATGTTCAGGCAATGTCTGTATTCTTAAGTCCACCTACTGGGTCCAGGTTCCATGTATGCTCTTTTATGAGATCACGTACCTTTCATTTACTACTTATAATCTCAATGGGTTAGCAATTATGGTGAGAATGCCAATGATGCATTTCATGCTAAAATACACTTTAGAATATACGCAATGAGTATTTATTTGTGATATTTMATTGCAGATAATTAATGGGACAACATTCTTTCTTCATTTTTCACCTATAAATTGATCTCCTTTTGTCATTTCCTGAGGAAATGAATGTGAAATCCATATGCATGTTAATTTCATGGGTCAATAACCTAAGTAAAAGTTAAGTCATTAGACTATCTTTTGTTAAAAAAAATGCAAACATATGTGTATAATAGTAGTGATATGGCCAGTAAATTTTAAACTACTATGCTTACATTAATTTCACCCATTTTGGAATCTGAATATTGTCTTTTGGCATAGCAGAATCCTTACTGGGTGAAATGCCTGCCAGAGAAAATATCAGTTGTATTATACACGTAATTCCAGCTGAGCAGCCGAACACACCATGTGATTCAGATCGTGACAGTAGGATGGATAATAGCACATCCCCCAGACCTATCAATCCTCTTCCAACGTAGCTGCATTATGCTGTTTCTTAAAATAACTAAACAGAATGGCTTGTAAAGCACTCTTCACAATTAAATTCTAACTCGCCCAGATCTATCAGCCAAGCAATTCTTAAACTTTTTGTTATCATGATGTTATTTTTTTCATAAATTTTCCAATGTTTGCATCCCATATTCATCATGAAGAAATTTATTTCACTCATATAATAACCTGATATGTATTGATCACTTACTGTAAAATGAGGCTATGGTGCTAGGAACTAAGGTATTTTATAGGACACTTTATAAGGCATACTGAGTTCTTTACTTCCTGGAACTTATAAACTAACCTCTGTGTTTGTCAAAAGAAAGTCATTTAATGCATTTAAATGGGAATCAAGGGCTTCAGAATTTTGAAATAGCCTTTGCGATATACCAAAAAKGACATAGCAGGGTTTGAAATCATCGCCGACTAACAGTCTTTTCAACTATAAAATTTCAGAATGAAAGAAGTTATGCATTTTTATTTTTCTTACCAAGGTAATGTCTTAAATTCTGCAGAAGGCGGTAACAGATATCTACAATTACCATATGCTGAATTTTCCTTGGTGCCATTTGTTTTGAGATATAAACTAAATTATTTTTTGCAGTGCTTACATAGCTAGTGAGTCACACCAATTGTGTATTAAACACTTCATATTACAAAGGTGAAATTCAGTAAGTTCTTGCCAATTATAATAAACAGCACTTTTCTTGCAGGATATCCATGATATCAACTTAGACTGTRTGAAGAAGCAGAGAGAAGTGCCTTTTAGACAGAGATTCCAATTAGCTTTTGCCCTTAGTTTTCTGTTGCGATTTCATCCTAACCGTAGAAAATGCATGCAATGGAAATTTATACAATGAGAGCAAAGGAGTTAATGGTTAAGAGTATTTTAATGAGCTCCTATTTTCACACACACAGAAGGAGGTGGTGTTTTGAAAGGTGTATCCCTGTCACCAGGGAAGGTGGTGGTGCTTTCTGAAGTGTAGAGGCAAAGAGGCAAAGAGGTATACAAATGAACACGGTCCTCTTGTGAACACTCGGATCCCTTGTCACTTAATTTTCTCCATGCTTTGTTTCTTTGCAGAGCGATTCAATGTTTATCTCATGCCTACACCAAATCTGGATATTTATGGAGAATGCACAATGCAGATCACCCATGAGAATATCTATCTCTGGGACATCCACAACGCCAAGGTCAAACTGGTGATGTGGCCTCTCAGCTCACTGAGGAGATATGGTCGGGACTCCACGTGGTTCACTTTTGAGTCRGGAAGGTAAGCTCTAGTGCAAAGACCAAGAGTAGTTGGGATGTGATAAACTCCTGAGGGAAAACTCTATCCACTGTTGCCAGAGATGGCCACTGCCTTTATAAAGAGTAGAAGGTAACACTAAATTTCTTCCAATTCTCATCGATAATCTGAATAAAATTTATTAAGTGTATGGCAAGATAATTACCCCATTTAAAATAATTTCAGCCACTTCCACTAAACCTCAAACTATTTTAATGATGCAGTATATTTCCAAGATTATAATAATTCTCATTTTTTATATATCTTCATGCTATAGGATTCCCGTTAAATTAAATATGTCTCTCCCTGCGCTCTTTTTGTGGATGTCATGTAAGCACACAATATTGAATGGTATTTTCATAAAATCATTTAAATATTGCTTTTCAGGCTTGTGAAAGTATACTGTACCTTCACCCAGGTGTTTATGTTGATGATATTAGTAATTAAGTATAATATTAACTCAGAATGACTGAATAAATGTTGGCAAATCCATAATTTATGAAATGTGCAACTCAGATTTCACACTGAGCATATCAAGCAAATCGTTGGTTTCTTCATCCTAGTCTATGCTTGGGATCCACACATACAAATGCTTGATCATTATGCACGGTCGTAGATGTAGACACGAGCCACAACCAACCAAATTGTGTCTTTCTGCTGCGACCCCTGTGATATTGTTGTCACRCACCCAATATAAGGTTTGAGGATTCTGTGCAAGGAAAAGATGTTCAATGCATCAGTCTGCACAGTGGGGACTGACTTATCACAACTTAAAATGAATCCTTGGTCCTAAAGGTAACAATCAGTGAGGTTCCATTGCCTTGACATGGCAATTTTAAGTTGTAATCTTCTTCTGACAAAACTAAATATTTATTCAAGTCGTATGTCTCCTAAAGGAGACAAACAAAAGGAAAACTAAGCAGTAGTAACTTTATGCGTCTGGAGCACTTTTGCACAGAGGAAATGCTGAACCCTCCACCTGCTGATCTCCCTGAAGAGCCTTGGATCCAGTTTATTCCGCAGCTGTGAGTTCACCCAACTCTGCCCCTGTCTTCCTGAGTACTGAGAGTGTAGTGGTAACCACGTTCCAGATAACGATGAGAAATAAAGACTCTCAAAACAAAATAAGTATTTTTAGATATGTACACTATGTTAAAATCATGATTATGAAAAAGATATGATACCTTTTAAAGATTCTAGAACCTAAAATCTAGGGTGCACTTTTTACTGGCCATAGGAAGTGTGCATACAACTGAACTGCAATTTTGTTTGTTCTCACTCAGTTAATGCTACTTCCAAGACCCCCTCTTCATCTCCCCCTGCCTTTCTCCTGGATACACCAATCTTCCTTTTCTTGCTTACAAAAATAACAAARACATTCATGATGATGATGCTAATAAGAATGATTTTATCTGTCTCATCATTTCAACAGACTACTACTCAGGGTTTTTAAATACAAGCATTTTTGGGTTTTGTAAAGAATTTTCACTCCATTTGTACCTGTCTACCTCAGGTTTGCCATTTTTTTCTCCTTATTATTTTTTTTATTTTTTCAAATTTCTTATTCCTTCAAAGCCTTTAAGGGGAATAAACTGGCTTTGTATGTTTTAATATTAATATTCTCAACCAAAACACCAAATTTTATGCTCTCGATGATTTTCTGTAACTTACATGAAAAAAAAAATACATTGAAATAGATGAGGTCCATAATCTCCAACTGTTTTTGTTTTCTTGGCCGAGTATTTGTTTTGTAGTTTTTGCTGTTTGCCAGAATAATTTCTTAAACAATGAATATCTTAATACCTAAAACTTAACCCGGACACCCACATACCTACATGCCCTGGGAATCAGAGAGAGTTAGGTTTAGACCACAGCACTGTCACCTACCTGTTTTATCCGGGGCATTTGACCCCTCTGGCACTGCTTTTTCTCTTTTGTGTTAGCAGAATTTAAATATCTATCTCTAGCTAAGTTCAGAGAAGCCAGCGAGTTGGTGCAGGCCAAGCCACACACAGTCCACAGCATTGCCACATGACAGGTGTGTGAGCCTCTTGARTATCAGCTCTCCCTCAGAAATCACCATTTGCCTGTTTCTCATTCCTGAGAGCAGCTTCTGGCTCCGTCTGAAGAGCCCTGGTCATGGAGAACTCTGCTGTGGCACATCCTGAGGCAAAGCTAAAGCCACAGGAAACGGGAGAAGCAGCTCTGCACGATGCTCGGGGGAAGCTTGTGTTTAAATGCCAGAGAAAGAATTACCAACTCTGTTCCAGGAAGGGAGATCAGTGTGACTGGCCACGAGTCCAGACCTCGAGGCCCAGGAGTGAAAATGGCACCAGTGCCACAAGACTTTGGGGAAAACACTGTACAGCTGTCTGTGTACTGACTGGTACCTGGGGCACACCTGCGGGTTGGTAGGGGCCTACTGCATTGAAGGGYCAGCAGGAAGCGTGGGAATTTACTAATTTTTGTATTTGTTCTAATTAGTTATTCATGAAAGCAGGATGCATTTTGAATCATGGTACACAAATGGAGCACAACTTTTCTGGTTGTACACAATGTAGCATCACACCCCATGTGCAGTCATCCATGTACCTAAGGCAGTGATGTTCATATCATTCCACCATCTTTCCTACCCCCACCCCTCCTAGAATTTACTAATTTATGATGCATAATTCTTTGAAATCTGTTTATGTTCTAATATTACTGTTTGTAGAAATCAACTTGTAAAGCACTGAAAATCAAACTTCTGTACACTGAGACTACTGAGGGAAAAACCTAACAAATTTATTTTGAAACACTGCTAAGATATGAATTGAGCACAGTTGGAGCATATAAATATATAAAAATCAATTGTATTTTCTATGCTATCAATGAATAATTAAAAGTAAAAAAAATGCATTACTTATAATGGCATCAAAATATGAAATATGCACAGGTGGACTTAACACAATATATGCAAAATCTTTACATGGAAAACTGTGAAATATAGCTTAGAGAAATTAGAGCAAAATAAATAGGAATATGCATATTCATGAACTAGAAAAACTATCTTGTTAAGAGAGCAGTCTTCTCTAAATTAATTTATAGATTCACCTTAATCCTAATAAAAATCTCAATAGACTTTTCTAAAATAAATGACAAACTGATTGCAAAATTCATTTGGAATTGCCTAAGATCTAGAAGAGCTGAGGCAATTTTGAAAAGAAGAATATAATTAAAGGATTTCCACTACCTGGTTAAGAGTCTTGCTACAAAACTATAATAACAAAGATAGTGTAGTATTAACATAAGGATCGACCTCATGATCAGCAGAAAATAGTGAAAAGTTCAAAAACAGACACTTTTCATGGAGTGATGATGCCTCCCTCGGCAACCTTGCTGTACTGAACTGATGAAGTACATTTGAAGCCTTTTGCATCTGACAGCTGAGCATGTTATTGGGGCCCTCAGGGGAGAACTCCATGGCTCCATGAGGCTTCATCTGTGTCTGCTTTGGAAAACAACACCTACCTATCTGGTTTTTGTTGTTGTTGTTGTTGTTATTGTTTTGCTTTATTTTTAAGTCTACATAAATTCATGTAAAAAGGAGACAAACAGTGCTGAAACAACTGGACAGGAGAAGTGTGAACCCCAGCCTCCCCCTTGCTGCRATGGCCAGACCTGCATCCTCCCAATGTCATGCTGAAGCCCTGACCCTCAGTGTCATGGTATCTGCAGAGGAGCCTTCCAGAGATAACCAGATTTAGGTGAGGTCGTAAACAGGAGGCCACATGAGCTTAGCGTACTTTCACAAAAATACCAGAGAAGCTTGCTGACTCCTTTCCTCCCCCACAAGAACACATGGCGAGAAGGCAGCCATCTACCAGCTACGAAGAATCTCAGCAAAAACCACCCTCCTGGCATCTTGATCTTGAGCTTCTCCGCCTCCAGACTGTGAAATGATAAAATTTCTCTTGTTTTAAGCCACTCAATTAATTATATTTCCTATAGTAGTCCAAACTAGTCATAAAACTCATAATAGCCCCCCAAAGCTCAAATGAACATACACCTAAATATAAAAGTTAAAATTGTAAACTTATCAAAGAAATATAAAGAAATATTTTTTCTCCATTTATTTATTTATTTTTAAGTACTTTTTATTTTTATATGACAGCAGGATGCATTACAATTCATATTACACATACAGAGCACAATTTTTCATATCTCTGGTTGTATACACAGTATATTCACACCAATTCATGTCTTCATATATGTACTTTGGATAATAATGATCTTCACGTTCCACCATCATTTCTAACTCCATGTCCCCTCCCTTCCCCTCCAACCCCTCTGCCCTATCTAGAGTTCGTCTGTTCCTCCCATGCTCCCCCTCCCTATCCCACTATGAATCAGCCTCCTTATATCAAAGAAAACATTCGGCATTTGATTTTTTGGGATTTTCTAACTTTACTTAGCATTATCTTCTCTAACTCTATCCATTTACCTGCAAATGCCATGATTTTATTCTCTTTTATTGCTGAGTAATATTCCTTTGTGAATATATGCCAAATTTTTTTTATACATTCATCCACTGAAGGGCATCTAGGTTGGTTCCACAGTTTAGCTATTGTTAATTGTGCTGCTATAAACATTGATGTGGCTGTGTCCCTGTAGTATGCTGTTTTTAAGTCCTTTAGTTATAGACCGAGGAGAGGGGCAGCTGGGTCAAATAGTGGTTCCATTCCCAATTTTCCAAGAAATCTCCATACTGCTTTCCATATTGGCTGCACCAATTTGTAGTCCCACCAGCAATGTATGAGTGTTCCTTTTCCCCCACATCCTCGCCAACACTTACTGTTGTTCGTATTCATAATAGCTGCCATTCTGACTTCAACTCAAAATGGATCAAGGACCTAGAAATAAAACCAGAGACCCTGCATCTAACAGAAGAAAAAGTAGGCCCTATCTCCATCATGTGGGATTAGGCCCCAACTTCATTAATAAGACTCCTTTGGTGCAAGTATTAAAATCAAGAATAATAAATAGGATGAACTCAAACTAAAAAGTTTCTTCTCAGCAAAAGAAACAATCTGTGAGGTGAATAAAGAGCCTACATCTTGGGAGCAAATCTTTACCTCTCACACATCAGATAGAGCACTAATCTCTAGGGTATATAAAGAATTCAAAAAGCTAAACACCAAAAAACAAATAACCCAATCAATAAATGGACCAAGGACATGAACAGACACTTCTCAGAAGATGATATACAATTAACAAATATATGAAAATAACAATTAGAGAAATGTAAATCAAAATTAATCTAATATTTCATCTCACTTCAGTCAGAATGGCAGCTATTATGAAAGAAAATATTTGTAACCTTTAAAGGCAAAGTTAAGAATAATTATTACAATGAGAAACAAATGTATAGAAAATGCATCAATAAGTCAGGCTTCATCAAAGTTAAAAACTTCTGCTCTTCACAAGATATTTCAGAGTATAAGAGAAAAGATGAGACAGACCCTGGAGGAAAATCATAAAATCTTTATTTGACAGCAACTTAGTTATATACTCATGACCCATAAAGAAGTCTTACAATCCAAAATAAGAAGAAAAATAATCCATTAATAAAACAGGCCCCCAAATTCGGACAGTTTAGAAAAGAAGCTAGACTGGTAGACAATGCACACAGGAAAAGATGCTCASTATCATTAGTCATCAGAAACTGTAAATTACAACCATAGACACCACTAATCCTCCCCCTTACAAAGAGAAAACAAAAACAATAAAAACGTCAAGTGGAGATGGAATACTCTAATCTCTCCTTGCTAACGGGAGTAATAACTGGAACACCAATTCAAGAAATAGTTTGGCAGTTTTTATGTGTACCACATGACAGTTTTACTTCTAGATATTTATCTACCCAACCCCCCAAAACATACACAACATTTTTATCTGGATGTTTATGGTAACTGTATTCATAACAGGCAAAGCTGGAAACAACCCAAATGACCATCCATTAGTAACTGGATAGACAGATGATAATGTAGTTCTACAATAGGATGCGGCCTGCTAATGGAACACTATGAGAATGAATCTCAAAAATATTTTAAGCAATATGCTTGATCATATATGTAGAAAATTTTATAATAGGCAAAACTAATTGGTAGTGGCAGAAAACAAATCAATGGTGCCTGAGCTAGGGGTGGCTAGAATGCACTTCAAGGGGCACAAAGGAGCTTTTTTGGTGGTGAAAAAAGTTTTCAACACACACACACACACACACACACACACAAATAAGAATTTGTTAATTAGCTCCATCTATTCATTCCAAAATGTGCATATTTCAAAATAATATGTTGTACACAAAATACATACAACATAATATTTATTTTTAAAATAAATTTTAAGGAACTAGAGATGTAGCTCAGTGGTAGAGTACTTGCCAGGCATGCATGAGCCTTGGGGTCCTTTCCCAGCAAAGGAGAAAAGATTTTAATAACAATGATAAAGTCCTGAATCTTGACATTTGTTAAAAATGGAACTTCTCACAAATATTGGTGAATATTCTTAGATGCAGATTGTACCCCATGTTTCTTGAGGTTTCTTTTCCACAGGAAAAGAAAGTATGAAGAAATTTATCATTTTTTATTTTTCATAAAGAGGAAAGGAAGCAGAGCATTCTGTGGATAGGGTGCCTTTACAGGATACTGCCAGGCCTTTATTTGGGGGTTTGTATGATAAGAACAGAAACCACTTTTCACAACCTAAAAAAGGTTTGAACACATTAAGTTTTTTAAAATAAATCACCATATTTTCATAGTATTGAGTTTTTACTTCCTTAAATTATAGGATTTCAAAAGTTAATACAAACTTTCAATAGAGGAGTGGAAAAGAAAACCTTAAAATTACTCATAATATCTCCATCTGGAGATTAATGCTGTTAATATTTTGGTGTACTTCTGTCCAATATAAATTTAAATKAATACAAATAAAGATATTTATCCTGTTTCTCACTTTATATTATATTTAAAAGCAATTCTTGAATACTTCATAATTGAGCTTCCAGTGGCTCTATGAGGTCTAAACATATGGCTAGCCATCATTAATTTAACATTAAGATGTTTCCAAAATGAACTATAATAAATTAGGTCACACTGACCATCTGTGAAAACAAAAATGTGCAAATCTCTGATTATGTTCTTAACAGAGCCTTTTAAAAAGAATTGCTGGGTCAAAGGATGCGAACACTTAAATGTTCTTTACARTACAGTAAATTGCTTTGGAGGAAAGTAATACAGATTCATACACCTCCTAACAGTGCTGAGAGAGTGCCCTTCTTGTCCCCATAAATACAAACATTAAAATGATGATCTAAGGTCTTTCTATTTTGATACAGCAGTTTGGTATCTCTTTTTCTTTTGTTTGCCTTTGAGATTGGAGGTTTGTCCTTTTGAACACGATTTATTTGTATTATTTTATTTTTATATCAAAAAATATAAAAATAATGTTAATGTTCCTTAACATTAGGATATTGGCTGTAATTTTGTGCATCATTTATAAATTTCAAATGATCTCCCTCTTATTAAAAGGAGCCAAGGACAGAATTGCTGTGCATGACTGATCCAGAGCACCCACCTAGGACACATGTTCCCTGAGTCTGAGCTGGTAGTAGGGCCGGTGATGATACTGAGGAAAGCTTGGAGGCAGATACAGGGGTCAAGCCAGGCCAGGCATCCTAGCAAAACAGAGCAAAAGACCCRTATCTTCTGGTTTTATTTTATTAGCTCATTACACAGGGCATGCTCTTTGATATAAATTCTTAGCCATTTATTTATGTTACTGTGTGTACTGGTAAGTAATAAAATTGAATATGTCAAAATACTCTTCTTACTGATAGACTTCTTCAGAAATGTTGATAAATTCTATTGTGATAAATTCTAAGTTACAAAAATGAACAATAAGATGGATCTAGATCCTTTATTCTGGAAGGACATAACCTCATTCACTCTGATAATTATAGTCATGCATCTTAAGCCTCAGGGAGCAGGTGCCCAGGGGAGGACAGAGGAGAACAAGGACCAAAAAGCTTTGGGGCCTCGGCAGGGAACAGCATTTGGGAGATGAATTCATGGTCTCACATCAGCTCACAGCAATTGCTCTTTTACTATGATGACTRCAACTTCGCAGTTTAAGAGTAAAAAGCAACTGATTGTCCATGCAAACTTATTTTCTGAAAATATCACAAATTTACCAGATCTGCCAAGTAAGTCATAGGATTTGTGATTATGCCCTATTTTATCCTGTGAAAGACAMAMCCACATTTTAAACTGCTGGTGTGGCATTTTCACTTCATGTACCCTCATAAATATTGTGAGCAAAAAAAATGAAGATGAGTTCAAATGCCTGCGTGGCAAAACTCAGGTGAGCTCAAAATCCTTTTTATAAAATTATTGTTCA